AGAAAGGAAGTAGGAACAGGCCTGCTGCTACAGATTTATGCTAAATCACCATCAGAGCCTTCTAAGAGGCTTTTTACATACAGAGAAATGCCTGGTTATTGGTTGATGAACTGAGTAACTGCAACAACAACAAAACAGAACTGGGTTCTACCAAAACCACAAATTCCCAGTAAGGGTGACTGGAATGAGCAGCTGAATCAGCACCTGTTCTTTAAATGCAAATGGAAAATATTGCCATAATGTGACTCATAGCATAACATTGTGCACTACTCAAAGGCCAAGAATGCAAACTTATAAAACTGTGTCTAACAATTTAGAAATAAATGTTGTATTGTTAGGTTTTTTTAGTTTCTTGTTCTTCTTCCTGTTCTTCTAGAAAACCTTGTCAAACAGTTTTCACTGAGCAAGATGAAGATGGCGGTAAAGTCAGGTCTTGAACAGAATTGATTCCTGAGAATCAGACATTGGAATATGGGGTAAGGTTCCTGGAAAAGAAGTTTGCTGTGTGCCATTTTGTCATTGCCCCTGCTGGACGATAGGTTTACCATGGTACAAAGGTAGGTTGATAGGTTGAAAGTATATAAGCAACTGAAGCTGAGAAACTCGTTTAGATGGGTTGCAACAGTATGGAGGTGGGAGCAACACCCTATGGACACTTGAACGACACCACAAAAAGTGGAATGAGACTAATTCTCATGGCTAGTGCTTCATTAGCAACCCAATACCATATCCACCCAGGTTCGAGCTCCCCTACAATTTATGGATTAAACTAAACAGGATCCGCTCTGGAGCTGGACACTTAAATGCCACGCTCCATAAGGTTGGCTTAAAGGACAGTCCATTATGTGTGTGGTGATGCACCACAGATTGCTGACCACCTCCTCATGTGTGCAGCACACCCATGGACCCAGGATGACGACCTGGTAAGCATCAACAGTAAAGCATTATCATCACTTTAATGTGGCTCCACCACATTCATGATCTGTAGAGGAGGAAATGAAGTATATGAGAGAAGAATAAAAGAAAATTGCCCCTACTAGGGAACTTGTATGAAGCACTCATAAAGGAATGTCAAGGTATTATCTGTGTCTGAGTCCCACAGGCATAATAAGCAGTTTCTATGCTTTGGACAGCAGAGGCAGCTGAGCTGGAAGCAATGGGAGGAAGGGCAGCAGTGGTGGGTGCCATTCTTGCCCCCCCCCCTCCCAAATCAGCAATCAGAGTTGGTGTATTGATGACCCAAATAGTAGTTACACTACTATTTGGTAATTTTAGAATTGGAGGTCTGTTGTGGAGGTAGAAGGAGACAACCCAGGAGAACAGAATGACTTCAGCAGCATTCAATGTATCACAGAAGGAAATATGCTAGGACTCAAGGTTTTTTTAATATTATTAAATTAAAATTCCCATTTTAAAACTACCCCAGTCTATAAATGCAACACATCAAGTAAACAAGGTACACTAAAAAAAATATCTAGACTCCGTGTCACAGATTTCTCCTCCAAAAGGGAGCTGACCTGAAAAAAACTGGTTTGTTACCACTTAACAGTAGGGCTGCTATCTAGCAATGTTCACTGTCATTAATAGAAGTTATGGGGGAAAAAGATGTTTGTAGACTAACTCTTTGATGTCTCCCTCTGTCTGGTGCAGCACTTCCACAGATTCACACACAGCCATCTGGTGACCATCTGTAGCTTATCAAACATAACAGGACAATTCCAAGCAGCTAACAAAGCAGGAAACTTGGTATCTGGAGCCTCCATATAAAGACCTAGGATCCTAGAATTTCATCCTCTCTAGTGCTTTACCTGATATTTTCCCTGAATACTTAATTGGGCTTAATTCAGCTCAAAATAAATTGTCTTAACTCATCTGAAATGAAGGGAGGTGCACCCATATGCTTCAGGCTGAATATGGCCCCCATTTAACTCCACAATACCAGCTGGTACAGACTTGGAAACTCTGATTTCTGACACCAGTTCAGGCTAAGCTGCTGGGAATTCACTATTGGTAGATTCCTATCAGCACCCTAAAGAGTTTTAACTGGTCGCCGAGCTGCCAAAAATCCCCACTGAAAGGTACCAAAAAGTCCTGCTGCCCCTGCTTTGAAGTAGTCAAATCAATGCATTGAGACTATACATCCTCCAGCCCCGCTTCATCACACACTTTTATTCTGCAGCACTGCCTGCTCTTCAGGCAGGTCTGAATCCTTCTTGTCACCCAGCATATGCCAATCTGTGACTGTCTGGAACTTCCAAAATCCACTTTCTAGCCTTGTGCCTTCCTTTAGCATGTGCTATACATCATGGATAAGCCCTGTATGTTTGTTTGAGCCAAGTACCAGAAAAAGAGAAAAAAAGTATTGCATCTCCCTCTCAGGAAGTTGGTGCTTTAACAGTAGATCAGCCCCTTTCAATACCAAGAAGTACCAGAAGAATATGCAGTATTATTTTGCAGCCTGTCTAGATGGTAGCTACTGCTGTTCATTCTGCCCTTCCCATTGTTCTTACTTCTAAACACAAGCACCACCAATAGGCCCTGAACAAAGTAATCTATCGTTATGTCCCCAAGTCCTGTTGGGATTCCACTATTTGCAAACAAAAAGATTGGGTACCATGGCTGTAGTTCATCTTTCTCACTCTAATCTGTTTGGGAAATGTTAGAGATATAAGCCAGTGCTATTAAGCTGGTGTTTGAGAGGGGATATAATTAGGGCTCTACTTAAATTGCAGCTGGACTTACCAATTTCACATGTTGGCCACAGTATGAAGAGCAAATTCCATGATTGTGCTCCAGCAGATCTGCCCCTCAGCTCTAACTGGCAGAGAGCACCACCCCACCACCCTCTGGGGGCGGGGAGAGGGGGGCTGGGAGAAGAGATGAGTGCGTAGTGGCCATCTTTTCTGCTGCCTGCTGTGCCACCCCATCATTCAGTACCTTCCCCTCCTGGGCAGGCTGTGGGGCTGGGCCGCAGCAGTAGTGTGAACCACTGGCTCCCACTGAGGAGCAAGCAGTTTATTTTTATTAAGTTTGTTGTTGCTGATTGTTTAATACAATTCTGGATTTCACAGTTTTAGCGAATCTGTGAAACCAAGATTTTAAGTAGACCCCTACATATAATGGATCAACTCTTCAATTAGAGGGAATTGGCACAGTTCCATTGAATTGGAACTATGTTAATTGGAGATACGCCAAAGGACACCAGCTGAGGATATGGCCCCTTTTCTACGATCATTTCCTGGAGGCTTGCTCATAATTCATTACTGTTATTTAAGGAGTCGAAATACAAAGTATCTACAAAAACTCCATTCACTGTACCTCAGTGAATGCTAGACTGACACAATTTTGAAAGTCCTGCATGATTGTCTGGCTGCAACATGAAAATAGTAAATAGCAGTAAAGGAATCTTGGAAGGCTTTTGTCCTGAAAAAGTATTGTGAAATTATTCATTGTTGTTAAGTCTGTTGCTGGAGTTGTGTAAACTAGAAACAGGTAAGCTGATTTATATAGAAGTAAGGATATCTAGTAAGAGTGCTAGTGTTTTTGCTGAATTTGAAGATTGTATTTGCATAGGAAGAAAGGTTGTGAAAAGTAAATTCTATTTGTACACCTGGACTGCAAACAGAAGCATCAGCACATTTCAAGAAAACTTGTCTTTAAGTATCTCTAGCCATCCTCAGAAACTGAATTTTGGGACCACAGGCTGCCTACAGAAATGAAGTAAAAGAAACAGACTTGAGAGAGAGGAAAATAATTGAACTGAAAATGTCCAATAGGAAGGAGGCCTGTGTGGACTCTCTAAAACAAAAAGGGGCTTGCTCAGTATCCCCTGATAAGGCAGGCAGAGAAAATGGGACCTCCAAAAATTGGGAGATGGTGGGTTTTCATGCTGTATCCTGAAGGGAGTGTAGGCCAACCCAGTAGGGGAGCAAATATCTTGCAACTGGGGTAGGGAGGACTAGTATTTAAATCACTGCATATTTATGAAAAAGTAAATTACAGGTTATCTAATAATACAGGGAAGCAGTAATCATTGAGATGCAACCGAAGGTTCATTTTCTAAGTGAAAAGCCAGGCTTTCAAACCACTGGATACCCAATCTAAAAACAGAAATCATGTGGGAACTGGAGTTAAATTTATTATCTTAAGGGAAAGGAAAAACATTCTTTATGAAAACAAAATTGTTTGCCAGAAAGGGAAAAAAAATACACTTAAGCACCATCAAATCATCTCTCTACAATGATTTATGAAACTTATATTTAAAGAAATAAAGCCCCTACTTTCTTTGTTTTTAAACATTTATTTTAATGTAACAAGAAGTACAATCTGAAAAGGAATCCTGCTTGTTCTGATTCTTTTCCAGGCACTAGCCTTTGTCCATTTCAGGTGATTTGTTTGAAGTCCTTGGTAATCTTCTCTTTTCGTTGTTTAATTTAAATGAGGTAATGGGCCTGATTTAGTTAAATGATTTAAAAAGCCAGAAAGTCAACAAGGAAACCTATATAGGGAAGCATGAGAGCTTGTTAGGGAAACCTGGGTTGTGGGGGAGTATTCCTTTTGTTTTGTTTGCATAATGATAATGAGAAGGGTGGGTCACTGAGGCAGTAGCAGAGAAGACCTGAAGAACTGCAGAACGTGACTATTATGCAGGAGTTAGGAGTGAACACTTCTCTTGAATAGGTACCTATGGAAAGTTACTAATTCAGAAGGTATCACTTGATGGAGCTAGAGGCAATGGTGGAGTTCAGAAAAGCATCTGAAGATGTGATAGAGGAAAGAGGAGAGAGGCTGCAAACACAGTTCACAATTTGCTGATACCTGCAGAATAAAAGCACCTGGAGGCAGAGCCCCTAAATAAAGAGGATGACATGAAAGCATATGACCATGAAAGCAGGTGACTGAAGAAACCATTTAATGGAGGAGAAATAGGACTGAGTAAGTTTGCTGTGCTGGGTGTGTCACTACATTTCCCCTCCCAGGCACTGTGCTCACAGAAGCAGTTCAGTCTGAATTGCAATGATTAGCACGTGAGAAGCTGACTGAGGGACAGTTTCAAGGGAACTGAGATGCAGAGGCCAGTGATTGCACCCAATTCTAATAAGCTGACCCTATGAAAGAACAATGGTCACAGGCCATGTCTCAGTTTCTGTTCCCTACTGAACTGGCCAAAAGATGGGTGGGCATACAGAGATCTGAACCTGAACTGTATATCATTGCCCCACACAAAGGCAGAGGTGTGGGAGTCTGGAACGTACCTCAAAAAATGAGGACAGATTATGAGAGCCCTGAGAACTTGCCATCCCATAGTGAGCATGTTTGTGTTTTCTCTGCTATATGTGGCTGCTCTCGTTAGTATTGCCTGATGGGTAACACCCCAATAAACGAGTGTCTAGTTTGGAGGAGCTTGCTTTGGTTCTCTTGTACTTTTCTAGAGGAAATAAAATCCCCCAGAGACATCCTGGTGTAACAGGAAGAAGACAAGAGTAACTGGACTCCCCAAAAAGAGAGGAAGCGACAATAAAGAGAGCCAGAGATTGGAATC